GTTCTACAACCTAGCAATTGGCTGCTTAAGGCCAAGCACTGTCACATGGGGAAGGCAATATGCTCCTTCATACCCGCAAACCCACCCCTGTTAGAGCAACAGAGCAGGGAAGCTTAAAAAAAAGCATGGATGGATGATTATACCTTGCTGGAGAAGGAGAGACACTATCTACCAGAAGGGACTCTCACTGTACGCTGACTGAATGGGCAGGTAAAAATGTCTCTTTTAGGCTCACCATACAATCTGAACATACAATGTCTATATATTTAACTTTACATCTACCAAAACTATGTAACATGAAGACCTATCTAATCTATCCAATCAATTTGTATCCACTCAGGCGCTGCATACCTGTTGGAAGATCTCATTGAAATTGTTCATCACATGTGTGGTGAAGTTAGGGTTAGAGTAAAATGTTTGTTTTAGGATCAGGCTGAGTATTTTTGGTTACAATAGTCTGATAAAACTATTTTCTCGGTGCAAGAATCAGATTTGGTAGAAATTTGTAAATTAGTCAACATGTGATCATTTAAAAACCATAAAAAATAAATGCTTGGTCCATCATTGCACTGGAATCATACATTTAAAAAAATATATAATTTGAAATGATGGAAGTTATCATTGACCAATTCTTTATTGATAAATGTATGACCTGCATAAACTTCTAGCCTGATAATAAAGACTTCATTAAGCCTTAACACAAGAATAAGTATCTTTATTTTATCCATGTGACTGTAGTTTTGAAACCTCACTGGAATTAACTAAAAATAACTGTCACTTTAAAAAAAAAAAAAATAGGTATCCTTTTCCTAGTGTGTTAGCATATCCTGTGGTCTAAAATTTAAAGATAACACATTTTTTTTATATCTAATACAATAGTTAGCTTGAAATACATACATATTTGTAAGTTCTTCAAACCCAGAGAAGACACCATTTGGGATAACCGTGATTTTTGTGTAGACGATTCTACTGTAAGAAACAAAAATGAAAGAATTTAAGATAAATAAAATCAGTGTTAAAATAGCAACATACTATTTAAAAAAAGAAGTTCTTATCGAGTGTCTATTTCTTATGATCCCAGTGAAAGGCAAAAAGTACTTGGACACTTTAGGTGTCTTTTTGTATCACACATGGAGTCTGGTAGTTTTCCTCTCTGCAACCTCATTGTGTGGTCTGAGAGTGAGACTACAATAGGAAATCTAGTGCTGAATGCATGCAAGTAGGTCAAAAGATATTGGATTAAAGTAAATCTGTCATAACAGAAACAGTGACTACTGGCATTGCTGACTTTTTAAAAGTTACTAGTTCCTTTGTTATCCTGGTCATTTTAAAGCTTCACTGCTTACTGAGTCACATACAAAGAACAAGCATGCAGTGTAGTCAGTAAGGCATATTTTGGGTGAATGACTCAATAGGAAAAAACTATAACAGCTAGGCAACAAATGATTTCTTAAACAAAATCAGATAAATAGCACCAATATATAATTCTATTACAACTCGTCTACTTTTCAATAGTATTTAGTATTGTTAAAGTTGATCTCCAGGCAGCTACAAAACAACCCGTTTTGCATCTTGACACCATCTACGAAGGTTAACTATTAAAATATTGAAATAAAGAGCTTGTTTAGCTTTTCTTATAGAGAGGAACAAAAAGTTAATTCAAAGGGAAACAAATATGTATTCCACTGGCAGAATTAAGTAATTAGTTCCCTAGTGTAAAACAACATTTTTACTAAACTGTTTACCTAAAGTTTATAAATATATATATAATAAAACAGTTTATAACACACACACGCATATACTATATATAATAAAAACCCCATGTTAATGGCCAGGTAGGTGAAGCTGTCAGCTGCATCGATCATCCTGCTTGTACCGAAAACTAAAATGTCAGTTGTAGATGATCTAACCCTTTAAATTCAGTAAATAAAATCACAGCGCAGTTGGGGCAAGAGAGGTTCTAAGATTTAATTCACAGAGGGCTGTTAACTTTCTAACATTAGAAAACTGACTCTTTTGGAAGCCACCTATGCCTACACATCTGGTCTATTTGATCGTTTCAATCTACTCCTTAAACCACCAAACATTTGGATAATAGAAAAAATAGATTAAAAAAACCCAAAACAAAGAAAACAGAAAATGGTGTCATTTACAAAAGGGGGAAAAAAAACTATCATCCCCAAAAAAGGGTTAAAAACAATAAAAAAAATATTACCATCCATTTACTTTTTAAAATATTATATTATACATTATAAATTACCATAAGAAAGAAATATATACAGGACAAAAAGGCACATAAACTTGGGTCCATTTGCACTACTGCACTGTGGTACCATGCATGTTAGTGCAACGAGTGAGATGTGTAATCATCTACATTTAGTATTACTCTCGTAAATGCGTGTGCACTGATGCAGCACAATAGTGTGAATGGCCCCTTTTAGTAGAACCTTGAAGCCAATGTTTTAGGAGATTCACACCTGTATTATGCAGGCTTTACTAAGTTTGTGAAGCCATCTCATTTGAAAGACATTTTATCTTTGCAGCAGCTTGTAGAAGCCAGAGCCGTACTGTTTATCTAAGAGGCTCTGGTAATTCTTTTTAGCAGATGTGTGTGTGGGGAGATTATTACATGTAACAATCCCTCCTACAAAGTCCAGGGAAAAACATAAATGGAAAGCCTACTGACTCTACAAGGTTTTAGTATTTGATTTGTCTTTGTTTATTATTTTCTTCTGTTGCAGTGGATTTAATTGTGCATATAGTAGTGTAATTATCAGTTTGGCTGCCTAGCCTGGCTCAGTGAAATGCCTATTAGTCTGCTCTTGGTTTTTCTTAACTGCAAAAGTGAATGGAGGTAGACAGTTATTCATAACGTAACAAATGTATGATGCCAAGTTAAGCTGTCTAGAACAATGTTAAAGCTCCCACTGCCCTTCCACTAATTCTATTGGCATATATTTTTTTTTTTGGGGGGGAGGGCTTTGCTGGTAGTGTAAGTGGGGGAGCTATGTCCCTAACCCTAAGGGCTGATTTACACCAGCAACTGAGCTACAACTCACAACTTCTGGTGGGTGTTCCCGGGCACAGTGCTGGTGCCCCAATCTCAGCACATTACACTGTTTACTTTTTCTTTGTTGTTAGAACTTCATTGAAATACATATATGCAACTACATATTTCCATTTTTTTTTTGGGGGGGGTGGGGGGGTGTTTGCAAATGTGTGCTCTTTTAAATATCCCTGATAAATCCAGCAGCAGAATTGGAGAGAAGAAGTAAACCCTGCATAAAATAGTCCCAAGACTCTCTATAGGAAAGTTGGCTGTAAACGGTACATAGTAAGAACTCTACGTGTAAAGCAAACAACATTTGATATATTTGTATGTTTTTAGAAGTATAACATGTATTTACACAAACAGCAGTTAAATACATCATCACTTTGGACATTTTTTTAAGCTGATTTCCAGAGACAATTAAAGGGAAACTATATTAGTTTTGGGTCAGTTGTATTTGAGTTTCTTAAAAATCTTTTAAAGCATTTAAATCCCAGCTCCGTGCCCCCTTCCCCCACACCCTAGGGAAGGCCTTTCTGCATGAAACCCATGCCATCAATACGGTATGCTTTTTAAAAATATCTTTTGATTGGTACTGTGACATGCTGGATCCTCTTCCTCTTTGGTCTTATCCCAGTGGTGGGAGGTCCTGAATAATACAGAGAGCATTGTTGGTGTGATCACATTAGCACTGTTCACTGCATTAATACACTATGGGGTCTATTCACGAAGCTGCCGAAGGATCTGGCCGTAGCTTCGGCCGATCCTTCGGCTAGCTTCGGCCCCAGGACCCCTTCGGTTCAGTATAGTGAATAGCCCGTACAGCTCCCAAAATTCACTCGGCTGCCCTCGGCAGCTTCGTGAATAGACCCCTATGAGTGTAGAGCACCACACTCAGCGGGAGTGGCCCTGGAAGACTGAGGACATTGTGTTGTGAATGAGAAGTACTGCTGGTACAGCTCCATACATAAGATGAATATTGCAGGCAGAGCTGGTTTTAGTTTTTGTTTAACCTCCAGGGAGACATTTTTGGCCCAGAGTTTAAATTCTGTAAACAAGGGTCTTCTTTTAGCAAAGCTGAAGAATGAAATAGCTGCACACGTAAAAAGGAGACTAGAGCACCATTTACTGGCGCAGCAGAAAAATACATAATCTTAATATGTTAATATGCAAGATTTCATACTTATGTGACTAAAAAAGAATTGCATTTTTAGTTCTTACCGTGTAAAAAAAACTGGATACATTTTCTTCAAACTAAGAGGAAATAGCATAATTTGTGCCAATAGTGACATTGACCTTATTTGTTTAAAAATATAATTCTATATAGCTGTTTTAATTCTTGAAAATTGCCTCACATGTTTTACATTAATTGTTGACAAAATGCTCAGTGGGAAACTGCAGCTGCTTCCTCAATTCTACTGACCATGTGCCTGCTTTCAAACCACAGCTCCCAACATGCATTGCACCTGTGTGATGGTAAAAGGTGCTCATGAGTCACATATGACTAGACAGCAAAGAGCTGGAGGCAAGGTGTACAGCTCATGTATGTAACTAAAGGGGGTATATAAGGGGGCATATTAGGGACTAGTAAATTAAAATGAAAAGTGGTCTCCTGGCTGGAGCTTCTAAAGAAAAAGAAGCATTAAACTGTTACATGTAGCATCCTGATGATGTGTTGCATATCCTTATGCAAATAGCATTATCTATTCCATGTATAATGGGAAACTATCATTCCATGTGATTTTCTTCTTAACCGGGGGTTCGGCTTTATTAAAAACCACCATGATAGCAAGATGGAAGGAAGCCTTTAATATTGTGACCTTTTCTTCGATGTAAAGGAATGTTACAGTCATACCATTACAATGCCAGCCGCTCTACCACTAAGAAGACAGCTAATTGAATCTTGAATTAGAAAAGTGTCTTTTCTCTAGCAAACTTATATAATAAATAGCCAATTCATAATTTTTATCATTCAAGTAAAGATGTGCTTACTAATGTCTGTTTTTAATCAATTTTCCATTTAAGCTCTTTATCTTAGCATCTCTAGTGAATGGAACACAGCTATGACTGTTATTGCATGCCATATATTACTTCTGGTTTTATCTTCCTTCTTTCATCATTTTTACTACAAGCTTATATCTGGCTTGGGCTATTTCCTGTTCTTATATGTACTTGACTTTTTGCCATCATTTTATATAATCTATACTTGTATAATGACCTAGAATAATTTGTAGTGGTACAGATAGAATATAAAAAGAAAAGATGCTAAAGCATTTTGCATACACTGGTCTACAAGGAGGAATCCTCGGAAACAAAAGTAGCTAAATGTTACCAGAATTGGGTCACTAATAAAGGAAAATTAAGTCCTGAGTATTAATTGGCTCCAGTTTCCAAGATACAGCTTTAGGTCAAAATTGCATCAAAATATTGAAAAATGACAAGGGGGATGTGCGATTATGCTCCATAATAGGGATGCACCTATACTGATAATAGCATCAGTATCAGTGCCGATGCCGAGTATTTGGGTGAGTACTCATACTCCCCCCAAAGTCCCGATGACCACTCCTTCAAGAAGCGACAGTTAAGCTTCTTTCCTGGTGTTTGCAAGTCTTCTTTCCTGGAGTCTATTTGCTCTCATTTATAAGCAGACATTACACTAGAAACATAAATCTGGTGCAAAGCGCGTCAAATATATACCATGCGACCATATGCAAGTGCAAACAGTCACAATTGCGTTAATAAATTCCCCCCAATATGTTCTAAGTTCAGTTAGTGCTGAACTGCAGTTTGTGCTAATTAGCTGGGCTAAAATGCTGGGGAATGTTTGCATTCTTCCGTGGACTGCCAATTTCATGTGCACTTTACCTTTTGCTAGTTTTATCTGATCTGAATTGATCTGAGTGGCTGCCATACTTGTATT